TCGGCTAAAAGGGGGAAGCGGTGAAGTGGGAAAAATAAAAAATAAAGGTAAATAGAAAAAAGAAATCACAGCCACTACTGAGGTTCTCAGGCTAAGTTCCAGACAGAGTTATCAGTTCTCTTTTTCCAAGGTCACAACAAACTTATAGCTTTAAAGTGCCAAGCTCCCTTTCAGTCCAGCCTCCATTCACTGATAATATCCCAGGAAACCACCTGAACAAACCATCTTCACCGCTTTCCCCATTATCAGCTGGCTCAAGGACTTTTTCTCAAAACACACATACAGAGAAAAGAAAACAATGCTTCAAAGCCTCTAGGTGGCAGTGTTACTTATTTTTAGCACTAGACGCTTCCTCTCCCCCCCCATTCAAAGAAAGACTGAAAAAATCCATAAAGAAAAGGAAAACAATAAAACATTAGAAAAGGAGAGAGAGAGAGAGAGGGAGGGAGGGAGAGAGGGAGGGAGAGAGAGAGAGGTCTTAGTCAATAAGAAAATGTTTATGCCAGCATTTAAAAGAAAAAAAAGAAGAGGGAAAAAAACCCAATTCAGTTTAAAAAAATAACAGGCATTATAAAAATCAACAAAAATTCCCATTTTTAAAAGAAAGAAAATAAAAACAATTCGTTTGACTTTCTGGCCGAATCTCACCACTTATCCACTTCAACTTTAACTTTATTTTTAATCTTTTAGGGTGTTCTCTCAAAAGTTAATGAAAAAAAATTCTCACCAAAATGACACACTTCTCTTCTGTTTCTCCTCTGTTTGGGAACTGTCCTGATTTCAGCAGCTATATGGCTGCTTCGCTGTTGCCAGCAAGAAACGTCTACTCCTGGGTCAAACAGGGACTTTGTGATATCCCTGAGATCAACAGGATATGCCCCTCTCTATCACCACCTCTTCGGGACGGTTTAGGTTCAAAAGAACCGTCCAGCAGCAGAGATATCAACATCATGTTGTCTCATCTGGACGTCAGCCCTGCCCGCCTCTCTACATAACACTCTTAAATTCCCTCTTCCTCCTCTTATTTTACATTAAAATAGTTCCACATATAAAATCTTTTAAAGATATATTTGTATATTAATACTGTTCTATTTCTCCTTTTTCCCCCTCCTTCCTTTAACAGTGTGTCGTCTGGATTATTTAACCTGTGTTCTT